TAGACTCCAATCTGCAGGCGGCCAAGGCCCCAGTTCATTCGCCATGCACAGAGCCGTAAGCGTGTGTATCCCCCACTCGACTTTTAAGAGCAAACCTGCTCCAAGTTGAGCAATGGCCTTGAGAAAATGCTTAAATCTTGACACATTAAAAACCACTACAGAATTAGCTACGGTCTGCAGTGCCCTGTGGGTGGGGTTGCCAGGAGAGGCCTTGGAGGTCCTCTCTGGCCTGGCATTCCTGCAGCCCTGAATCTGCCTGGGGTCTCTGAGCCCGCAGGGAGGTGCGGGCTACTCCACACTCTCCTCATCCCAGGGTTAGTGAGGGAAGTGGGTTCCTGTCCACCAAGGGTCAGGGACTCCGATACCAGCGCTTCTACAGGCTCCCTGCCCGCCAGGAACCAGGGTGGCCCCAGCTGCACCCCTACATCTGGCCCACAGCCACCTCTTCTGAAGCTGCACTTGCAGACGACACGGCTCTGTCTGCCTTGGGTTCCCTGGAGGAGCCCTCCACCAGCCATACACCTTTGGATTTAGACCTAGGTCGGGCACACTCTCACATTCTCAGGGCTACAAAGCCCCACTGAAGGGAACCCTGGGCTAGCAGAGGGTCTGTAGGTTTGGGTGTGACACCATCTTTTCTGCTTTGAAAGCAGGAGGTGACCGTGAGTCTGGACCTGGCCGGCCGCTAGAGAAAGACACCGCTCTGGCTGGGCTGGGGTTGCCGGAGCCCCGCTGCGCAGTGCCGCAGAGGAGGGCTCTCTCTCCACCCCGTAACTGGCGCTCACTTTGTGCATAATCCAGCCCAGATCCCGGGCTTTCGCTCGTCCCTTGTCGGTCGGTCCCTCGTCCCTTGTCCCGCGGCCCCATCATGCCTGCAGCTAGCTGGCTGCACCGATGAGGCAGCTGGGCTCCGCTCTCCCCTGAAGTTTCTCCCCTGTATGCAGAGGCCAAGGCGGGGAAGGACTGCTTTGCCCCATGCACTGGCACCCGCTCCCTGAGCTACAGCTTCCAAGACTTGATACATGGGTTTGATTCACAACCTGATAAATTGTATTCAATGCTATTTGAAAATTTTAAACGAAATTATTCAAAAGATTTTTAATCCCGGATAATTTTTGTTGAAACTCTAATTATACATCACCGTAATTACCAGTACCAGCCCCCCAATGATCCTTAATTGCCTCCTAATTGAATAAAACAGGGAGCTAATGGTGCCCAAGCCGGCCCTAGGAGCTGTCCCAGGCCCTGCCTCCCCCAGGGGCCATGGGGGGGCCGTCCACCTCCACCCAGCCTCCCCAGAGAAATCGGAACCTGGTCCCCTGCCTGGAGCACTGCCCAGAGGGGACCTGGGGTCTCGGGCTTGGGGGCAGGAGGGCCAGCACCCTGGAGCACCTGCTCCTCCAAGGCAGCCCAGGCAGCAGTGGGTGAGACCCGAGGGCACAGCGTGTGCCTGTCCCGGAGCCTACCGGGCAGCCACCCCACAGCTGGCCTGGAGAGCCCCTCCTGCAGCTCTGAGCCATGGCACACCCAGCGGCCAGTGGCAGGCAGGGCCCCGGACCTGGCAGCCAGCCCCACACTGCCCCACCACGCAGCCTCCGAGTTTTCGCCCGAAGCGGGCAGGACGCTCCAATCCCGCCGGAGGGATCCTGGGACTGCTGCCCTCGCTGGTGCTGTGAGAAAGGCTACTGGCGGGCTCTGGGGAGAGCTGGTGGGAGGGGGCTTCCAGAGGAGAGGGGGAAACCTGCAGGGTCAGGGGCACCCTGGAGCTGAGCCAGTCTGTTTCCCAGGGAAGGAGGAACTGGCTGAGAGCTGGCTCTCGCACACGGCTCACACATCTCTCAGACACACACACACTAAGCTCCGCACCTGGGGAGGGGCAGATGCACCCTCACCCCTCCCAGCCCTGGCGTGAGTGGTGTCCCAGACCACGGTGTCTATCGACTCCGCAGGACCAGGTCTCTGAGGGCAGCTCTGGTGCAGGCTCCCCAGGTCTTCAGGGCTCAGGGCTCCAAAGAAGGGGCCCCCAGCTGCGCGGTGAGGAAGGTGGAGGTCAGGAGGGCGCCATGGCTCTGCTCACCCCACCTGCCCACCTGGCTCACAGCAGTGGCAGAAACAATAAGCTATTGTCAGAAATTTCATTTTAAAATGTGGAGCCAGGACAGTCCCCTTCCCCACTGGCAAGCACTGGCCCCACTTGAGTAAGCAGACCCTGCCCCTGGACTGTCCTTCTCTGCTCCTGGCCCCCAGGCTCAGGTTCCCCGGGGAACTGACCCACAGCCCCTCCTGGGTGCCCTTGCAGCCTCTGCCCTTGGAACACTCAATCCAGCCCCTCCCTTGGGGCCCTGAAGTGCTACCAACTCAGCCCTTAGCAGGTCCGAGCCAGCCACCTGGACGGGCCTGGGGCAGCGTCACCGAAACACAAACGAAATTACAGCCCCATATGCACCCTCGCGGGCAGCTCCCCCAGCTCTGGGTCATGAGGTCACGTCCCCTAGCCTGGCCGTCCTCCTGTCCCCTGTCCTTCTGTCTGAAATGCAAGGGCAATGCAGAGCCCCGAGTCGCTATGACCCGGCTCCCTCCCCAGCCCCAGCCAGGGTTGGCAGCCTGTGAAGGAGGATGCATTGCTGCAGCCACAGTTCCTATGCCTAGGTTTCAGGTAATGGAGTCAGGACACCTGCGCTTTCATATCTGCTTGAATTGTGGTCCAGGGAAATGAAATTCCTCAGCAGGCCCGCTGCTGTCCTTCTGAGCCTGCCAGCCACCTCCTTGGGGAGGACTGGGGGCAGCCTCCCAGCTGTGGCACCTGGAGGGGGTCCCAGGGCTCCCCATGCCTGGGCTCTGGTCTGGGCCAGGCAGACAGGCTCCTCCCTTGAGCTGTTTCTGGAGGACATGCAAGCTTGCTTATGCCCTGGGCTCCTATCGAGTCTGGTTCTCCAGTTTCCAGGCCATAGGACAGTGCCCCGTGCCGAGGGGTTCATGGCAGAGCTGGGGCCAGGCAACCAACCAACTCCTCTCCACCTGACAGAGGTGGAGCAGGCAGAGGGCTGAGTGTCAGCCCCGGCGTGGGCCTGAGTAGTTTCCAGGGCCTTGGGTGCCACACCGTGCTCTGCACTTTGCCTGCCTCTCGCTTGCAGCGAAGTCCCAAGCTTAACTCTTTCCAGCTCCAGCTCTGGGCACTTCCCTGAGAGGGCCTGAGCAGGGCAAGGCCCACAGCCGGGGTGTCCTGAGCGGGGGAAGACCCGCGCGCGCGCACACAAACCCAAGCATCTACCCAGCACCCACCTCCACACATCAGGCAGCCCGGCAGGGCACACACAGCCCCTCGGCCTCTGCAGAAAACCGTCTGGCCTTGTTCGCACCAAGAGGGGTCAGAGGTCATGGAGGCCCAGGAGGCAGAGGCCAAGGGCAGCGGGTAGAGAAGCCTGGCCGGGAAGGAGTGCCTCCTGAGGGGCCACGAACGGCCCACGCGGAGCCTGGGTCGGCTGGCAGTGGTCAGGAGCTGCTTTTCCCTGCAGGCTGGGAGTGCGGCCTAAGGCTGCAGGGCCCGGGGTAGGGCCCAGCTGGGCTGGATCCTGAGCCCCAAGCCAGAGCTATTCCAGAAAACCTGCTTGAGCCCCGAGCGCACTGGGCTTGCGCTGGAGGGCACGGCCCTGGGCACCGCGAGGCCAGACTGCCCGCGCAGCACCGGGTCGACCCAGGAGGCGCGGCCGAGCGGCCTGGTGGTGGCGGGGTCTCTTCGGGCGCAGGACCGGACAGACCATCCTCGGGCCAGCAGAGGCGGGGGCGCTGGGGCAGCGGCGTGGAGTCCCCCCGCGCTGCGCTCGCCACTTCGCTGCAACCGGGCCGCTGCCGAGCGGCGGGAGCAGCGCTCTCCCGGCCGCCGGCCGCCTGTCCCCACCTGCCCGCCGCGGCCCGCGGACCCCGGCCGGCCGGACTCGAGGCCGATGGAGCCGGCGGCCAGACGCGGAGGGCAAATGGGTTGCTCAGAGGCGCGGCGCGGGCAGCAGGAGCTCCAGGCAGGCGGAGGGCTGCCCAAGGAGCCCTGGGCTCGGCCCCAGGCGGAGCGAAAGAGAAAGTAAGACCCGGGACAGGCAGTGTCGCCGAGCTGCGGTGCTCCCAGCCTCGCTGGGACACCAGGCGAGGAAGCGCGGGCGGGTCCGGGCAGGGCCACGGGCGCGGAGGCGCGGGGCGGCCGGAGGGGACCCTGCTGCCGAGGCGCCGGCCCGCGCGAGCCCGAGTCCCCGAGGAGCGCCGCCGCCGCGCCGGGCACCGCTCGGGAAGAAACTTGGCGTCCACAGCTCCGAGCGCGGGCCGAGGCTCCATTTTGCTCCCGCGCGGCGGCGGCGGAGTCTGCCCGAGCCCCTGCCCCGCGCCCGAGCCGGTGGGCCCCGGCCCGCGCCCCCTCCTCCGCCCCTCCCTGGCTCGGGGTCTCCCTCCTCTGCGCCCGGCTGGCGGACGCCAAAGGCGGTGCTCTAGCGCCCACTATTTCAAAAGCCCGGAATATGATTTGACCAGGACTGCGAGCCACTCGGAGAGCGAGCGAGCGAGCGAGCAGTAAAAGTTGCTCTCCCTCCCGGCAACTTTTCGCTAACTTTCGCTTTTCGCTCCCTCCGCCCGGCCCTCCCCCGCCCCCCTCCCCGGCCCCC